CCGCTCAGCAGGGAGCCCGACGTGGGGCTCGATCCCAGGACCCCAGGATCATGACCTGAGCCGAAGGCAGATGCTTACCTGACTGAGCCACCCAGGCGCCCCAGCATTGAGCCTTTCTGTATTTTACATTTTAACAATGGCTGCCCTTACAGGATGTAATTAAACACCCAAATGCCATTCTGCCCCCTTTGATTAAAATCATGAAGCTGAGTTAAGCATGTGGAAACAAGTATGCCTGCTGTCTCCCCAACAGCAAGGGGAGCATTACTCACTATATAGCAAAAGCCTTCTACAGCACCTTCCCTCTTAGGCTTCCATGGTGTCTGGTAAACTGGAGATCAGTAATCCCTGGACGCATGTGGCTCAGCTCTTACCTGAGTCCGTTAGTCAGGATAGGCTAGTTTCTGCTGTGGTAACAAACAAATCAACCAAATCTTGGGGCGTAAACACAACAAAAGCTTATTTCTAGCTCTCACTACATGCCTAACACAGGTCAACAGGGGCACTGCTCCACGTCCTCCTGTCATGTCCAAGCTGACAGAACAGCCACTACCTGGAAAATTGGTTGGTCACTGTGGCAGAGGGAAAGAAAGTGTGACAGATCTCTCACTGGCTCTTAAAGCATCTACCCAGAAATGACATGTCACTCCACTTACATTTCGTTGGCCAAAGCAAGTCACATGGCCATACCTCACCGGAAAGGGACAGAGAGATGGATATGACTCGTGACTCCCATGCAGAGCAGGCAGAAGCATGTGGACTCAGGCAGATGCTGCTTCATGAATGGGCACTCAGAACCACCTAGCCAGTTTAGGCCAGGTGGCCAGGTGGGAGCAGGTATTTTATTTTTCTCCTTCTTCCTTTTTTTTTTTTTTTAAGTGAGGGAGGATGTCTATAAATGAGAGGCTTTTTTTAAAAAAAATGAAAATCTTTTTAGAAAAACTTGGACTACTGAAAATATACCCTAGAGAACATTTGGTGCGTGAAAAATATATTCAACCATCTTAGGTCCTTCTATTAACAGTGAAGTTCATAGGGCTACTGAGCAGGACACAAGGAATTAATTTTCCCATTGTTATTGGATGGCTCACTGGGCTATTTAAGACATTTGAGGAGAAAGACTCCTCATATGGTAAACGCTATAAAGCATATGGAAGGAAGAACGGGCATTTTCCAAGGTTGGTAGTTCTTCCTATGTTATACAGTTCATTATTTTGTCTTCAAGCTTAATTCCGAGAGTAACCTCTAAAATTCTTACATAGGGGCTCTCTACCAACTATAATACTAGACCAAGAGGACACTGAGGATGTAGATGTAGATTGCTCAAGCCTAAATGTCCTAACCTATATATGTGTTCTCCTTTCTTTTGTTTTTATCTGGGTTAAAATTTAACTACTCACACTTCAAACTATCTTAAATTGCATTTTTTTTAAGAAACTCTTTTCACTTCAGCCATATTCAAGTTATTTTCTGCCCTACATGGAGAAGGGGAAACTTGTCCAGTGAAATCTGACCTTCAGTTCAGTCATGCCCAGAACACACACTGTGCTGGTTCTCTTCCCACCTCACTGGCCATCCTCCTTTACTGGTTCTTCCTCCACTGACCTCTAAGCATTGGGCTCTTGGGTACTAGGTCCAGGTTCCTCTGCCCTTCTCTACCTATATTCTCTCCCCGGGTCCTGTTATACACTTCCAACAGCTTCATATATATGATCAACGACTCCCCAGTAATTATCTGTAGCCCAGATCTCTCTGTGAGCTGCAGTAGAATATACCCACCAGCCTATATGACATTTTATAGACCTTGAACATCTCATAGACCTTGGGGTAAGGCAGATGCTACAATGGCACCCAAAAACTCCATCCTTCCTGGTATTCACACCCCTGTGTTGTTCCCCTCCCCCCCCAACACACACACACTGCACCTGGGTTGGTCTTTGTAATCAACAGCAAACAACAGAAGTGACAGTATGCTACTTCTGAGATCAGGGTTTTTTTTTTTTTAAAAAAGACCGGCTTCTACCTTGGGTTCGCTTTCTCTCTTGGAACATTTGCCCTAGGGGAAGCCACATCATGAGTAGCCCTATGGAGAGGTCCATATGGTAAGGAACTGAAGTCTCTGGCCAGCAGCCAGCTGAAATCTGTCAACAGCCATGTGAAGAAGCTAAGAAGCAGAACTTACGGCTCCAGTCAAGCCTTGAGATGAGCATAGCCCCGGCTGATGGGTTGACTGTAACATTATGAGAGACTCCGAGCCAGAACAAACCCAACTATGCCATGCCCAAATTCCAGACCCACAGAAACTGAAATAACAAATGGCTGTTGTTTTAATCCGCTAAATTTTAGGGTAATTTTTTAAATGTGGTAATAGGTAACTATTCCACACATCAGAGATTTAATATGCACCAAATGGAAATTTACATCTCCCCTACCCCAATTCCCAATTTGTTCTTTCCCTGGCCTTCCTCTTCTTAATTAACATCTACATCTGCCCAGTTTCTGAGCCAGCATCTTGAGAATCATCCTTGGCTTCTCCTTATCTTTCACTACCACCTCCCATTCATCAGCAAGTTCTATAGAATCAAAATCCAAAGCATTTATCAAATCCATCCTTACAACAAAATGGATTAAGAGCCCACTTTGCATAAGGCACAGCATCAGGTGCTGGAGAAACAGCAATAAATAAAACATGCCAACCCTGCCCTCATGTAGTTGACATTCTTACAGGAAGGAGTAAAGGATTCATAAACAAAATATATAGTATGTCATATGGGAATAAGTTGTATGCCGGAGAACTAAAGGAATGGAAGGATGGGAATGCCAGGGGGTTCGAGGGGTGTTAGAATGTTATTTTAAATATGGTTGTCAGGAAGGCCCTACTGGTAAAGTGGCAGTTGAAGATTCCACATTCCCTAGCTCTACCGCTGCTACCCGAGCCTGAGTTACCACCATCTTTCGTTTGGGCTACAACATAGCCACCTCCATGACACTCCCCTGCCCACAACCCTTCAGGGGCTTTCCATTGCTGTTAGATGAAAATCTGGAGAGCTCACCAGGCTGCACAAAGCCCTGCATGACCTGGTGCCACCCTGTCTTTCCAACTTCATCTTGAACCAGTCGCCCAAGCTCCAGTCACAAAGACGTTCTGGCCACTTCTAGAACATGCTAAGTTCCTTCATGGCTCCTTTGCCCGAGCAGGTCCCACTGAAAGTAATGAACATCACTAGGTCCTTCTCATCCTTCTAAATCAGAAGGTCTTGGAGAGGATTCCTTTTCACCACCACAGGCAAAGTGCTCCGCCCCCGCCTGCTCCATTTTCCTTTATCACAGCCCTCTGTTTACAAGTTGTAGCTGTTGGTTAATTAATTTGTTTGTTGGTTGTTTCTTTGTTTCCTCAGGGCTGTCTGCCTCCAACCAGAATATAGACTCCTAGAGGCCAGAATCCTCATCTGTCCTGTTCTGTATCATAGCAGCCCCAGCTATACAATACACATTTATTGAATGGATAAGCCAACCTTTCCTGACCACCCTGTAATTTTGACACCAAGTGTAACCAAAAATATCATTAAATGGTAGAAGCAGAATCTTGTTTTCACAAATCTATAGGTTTTTCGATGTAGTAGAGACCTAGAGATCAATTACTCTTATGTGCCACAAAAGATAAGGAACTTGTACAAAGTCGCAGACCTGGAATCAGAAACAGAATTAGGTTCCACTCATGCGTCCTCAGAGTTCTTTAAGCCAGCCACCTCGCTTCCTGCCCCCTCTACCAGAGTACCTTTAGTTCCTGTAGGACAGGGGCAGACTTGTGAAAAACACAAATACAGGGTGGCTAAGTGGTAGGAGCACAGGTTTTGGAGTTAGACATGAATTTTTTTCCAAACTTTCCGACAGTGTGGCTTACCCTTCTGAGCCTTACCTTCCTCCTCTGTAACACGAGAACTGTCCTAGAGCAGTGTTAGGGTGCATAGAGCTCAAAGAAGACCCCTGGTGATTTGCTTTTACTAACTGGCATAAATATATATATATATATATGGGGGGGTATTCCTATTATGACTCTGAGATCAAGGAATGGAAATAAAATGCATTTTGCTATTTTATGCCCCAAATCTATATTACAGATATTTTAGTAACTTTTATAACAATAAGACAACATCTAGCCTCCACAAATGAAAAACATAATTTCATAAAGTAGCACGCTGTGAATTTTGTGTTCGATTTATCCTCTTCAAAATTAAGTTGCTGTCTTGCTATCAAGTGCAAGTTGTCTAATCTCTTTTTCCTTGCAGTGCGCACGGAGATTTTAAAGGGAGTTAGTTATTTCCGGAATTACATCAGGCCTTTAGGATAACTGCTGTACACCCCTGCTACGAAGCTCTCCTCTCTAAGTGTGTCCCCCTCGGAGGTGTCACTGCACCCGAGGCGTCTTCACAAATATCACAAAACTGCGGCTGTAAATACCGCGCTCTTATCCACAAGGCAGGCGCACCTAAGTGTGTTTGGAGTATCTTTATGATAGAAGAACCATGAGACGGTAAAATAAAGGGCAAGGCCGAGGCCCAAGGCTGAGAGGTATGACTTCAAAGCTTATCAAAGGAGAATGAATATGCAAGCGAAGCCCCCAGCCCAGCGCAGCTGCCGGAGGACAATTTCGGCGCATTTCTGTCGAGCAACACTGAGCTCGCGCCACGCAGGGCCCTCGGGCCTCGCTCGCGCGGCACTCTCGGCCTCAGGTTTCAAAGCCAGGCTTCGCTGGACTTTAGACTTGGGGGCTACCAGCTGCTTCTAAGCCCAGGCCCGCCTCCTGGGCTTCGCGCGGCCTCGCGATCCCCGTCTTTGCAGCTTCCCCTGCGCATCTGGGGAAACGCAGCAGCTTGCCAAAGCGCGGCTGCTTTAAACCTCCCTTCCCCAGGGGGACCTCTGCGGGGGCTCTCCGCAGGGATTATTAACGCGAAAGGACCCCGGCCGTAGCGGCTCCCCGCGGACCTCGCTCTTCCTACCCTGCCCACAGCTCCAGCGCCCGCTCCGGCTCCCGCGCACCTTCCCTCCGCTCGCCGCGCGCAGCCTTCTCCCCCGGGACCCTCAGCAGGGCCAGCTTGCAGGGCCTTTAAGGTCTCCCCACGCCCCTCCCACTTCGCCCTCGGGCCTAGTCTATTCCCCGCCCCGGGGTCGCGGAGCCAAGTTCTGCTGGGCCCGGGCCACGCCCCACCCAGCCCTAGGTCACGCCCTGCGTGATGCTACGCCCCATCTGGCCCTACGCCACGCCCAGCGGGGCCCAGGACCCGCCCAGCCCGCCTCCAGGCCAAGTCCGCAAGGCGTCAGGCTGGTGGCCTGCCCTAACCTTGGAGCGGGCAAAGAGCTGGTAGCTGCAGGATCCGTTCAGCGGCTGAGCTGGGAGCCCACTTTCTCTGCGTAAGAGTCTATTGTAGGTACCCCCCAAATGTCCTGGCAGGAAAAGGACTAGGGGCTAGATCCCCCAAGGGGAAAGGAAGCGGCTGCATTTTCCCAGGATCGCACGTCTTACAGAAAAGCCTGGAACATGGAGGCTTTAGTAGCGATTTTAGCTTTCTCCAAGGATTACTAATCAGAGGGGTGCACTGGCAATTTAATATCTCGAACAGGATTTGGATCATCATTCTGAATACAAAGCAACTTTGGGTTTGTTTCTCCACTGTTTCATGTCCCTGGGCCTGAGGTTTCTCATCTTTACAGAGTCTGTAGGGAATAGTAGCGCTTGAACTGGCCTTAGCACCTCCTATAGCAGCTGGCTTAGTGAAAGTGAGGGCCTCTGTCCATAAACACAGCGCTAGGAACAGTTGTCGTGATACAGAGTAATCCCTTTAAGTAGTACACTGTATTCAATTCATTTTATCCCGAATTCTGGGAAAAAGAGGATGGGGACTCAAATGGGAAGAATCTCCAGGTGTCATTTGAAAGGAAGGTAAACCTTTAATGATGATGATGATGATGATGATGATGATGGATAGAGTTTCCTGAGGCCAATGCTGCTACTCTAGGTGATGCGTATATGTTATCTTGTTTAATTTTTAGAACAACCTACATGTGGTAGGATCATTGTCTCCTCCAATTCCAGATGAGGAAACAGATCCAGAGAGAGAAGTACCTTGTGCCTGGCCAGGACTAGAACCCACTTTGGTCGATGTCAGTACACCACACCTTCTTAGTTGAGAGCAGGGCACTTTGATAGGAGGCTTGGTAATCAATTGATTTATTTAATCAGAAAAAGAAGAGAAAAGGAAATGAAGTTGTGTGTGTGTGTGTGTGTGTGTTCATTTTTTAAGAGGGTAAAACTATGAGAAGTTGCTTGGTAAAGGCTAGGCAGGGAGACAGAACTGAAGGAGAGCAATGGTCCTTAAGGATGGCGGCTCCTCAAATCCTAGGAACAGGGAAGGGGATAAAAATAGGGTCCGACAGGAGGAGAGACAAGAATAAATGTAGAGGTTAAGAACTCTGGAGGTATGAGTATTCAGAGCTGTATGTCACTAGAGAGCTGTATATCCCTGGGGCTCATACTGAGATTATATAATGAAGAGATGGATCGAGGGAAGCTTCTAGAGTGATTTCAGTGCTGGCTAACACTTTGATTGTTCATGCTGCAACCATGAAGCCGTATAAATGTGTACCTGACAATAGTTGTGGAGAGACCTAAAAGTCCATTATTTATTATGCTACGCATTTTGCTAGTCCGTACTGCCGGATGTGAAATGAGACACAAGATCCATGTTTAAAAATGACGTCAGCTTTTCTTTATGGAAGTTACTAAATTCTCCACTGCTCCTGTTGCACCCATTGGTGCAAGATTTGTGATAGATTTCACATGCAGGCTCTTACTTTCTTTGGCTTTACTCCTTAAAAGATAGTGTTAAAGAGAAACTAGTCTACATTTTATTTCTCTTTGAAAGAAATATCTTCAAAGAAACTTCAAATTAATAATGTAGGTGTCTTAGAGCAGGAGCTTTATGAAACTATCGTGAGCACGTGTGCTCAAACAAGGGGAGAGAAATCCATGCAAATCCAGTGTACCACAGTGAAAAATGTTGGTGACATATGGTATTGGTGGCATGGAGTATATACTGTATAATTCCATTTCACATCGTAAGTGATTTAAACACTACTGTTGGTTAAGCACCAAATGCTATTTTACTGAAAAATAATTAAAGTAAGCATTCTCCAGTACTGGCCCCCAATATCCGCTAGCCCTGGGGATACACAGACAAGAACGGATAAAAGGGGTCTTTTATGATGTTCTGCCATCAAGAATGATAATCTGGTATCAAACCTTGTGCCCAACTTCATTTTTCAGCCTTTCGTCCTGGAAAAGCTGAACTTGGGGATATTTTTTGAAACCTAGAATATCAATGTACTGCTATACGCCTGTGATGAAATAGCCAAGTTAAAAATCATATTATTAAGGAACCAAAGGTTTCCAAATCAATCTGTCAGAGAAGGATTTAGTTCAAATGTGCTCTCATTTCCACAGTACCTGCTTTTCATTTTTATAGTATCTTTGAATTTTGACAGCACTTGTACTCAGAAACCTGAAATTGGCAGAGAGAATGAAATCAAAACCAAACATCCAAAACCCCTCGCTGTTTGGATGAAACTTCTGGAAAGCACTCAGGTTTTCATCACTCTAGTTAGTGGTTTTAAATATTTACACAAAAATAATCTGTGGGGGAAAAAAAATCCCAAGAGGTCAAAATATGAAGTAATCCAGATAATTATCAGATGAGCTGCAGACACAAAGCACAGACGACGATATCAGTTTGTAAATGGTGGGCTGTCAGGTTTTCATTGTTAATTGGAAGTTAAAATTGACAGTGCTGCAGAGATTTTCTTGGTTTAATTTTTAGTCGTAGTATGATAAACTAGTCCCATCATTTCCAGGAAATCTATTAGATACCAATGTCACAAGAGGGCTAGGACAGAGCCTTCAACACACGTTTTCGATCAAATTCCTCTTCTTTATGCCTCCCAGAGAATACAACTAATTACTCAGTATTTTTTATCACTTCACTTAAAGGCAAAGGAAAAATGAAATTAAAACTTTTCTAGTTCTTACAGAGCTATATTGAAAACAGATAGTCCCCCAGTTTGGGAAACTTTTTAATGGGGACTGTACCTTTACAAATGAGTCATTTACAACCTTTTGTTGAAGCCAATTACAAGTTTGTCTCCAGAGCTGTTCTGACTTTCACAGCCACTGTGGAAAACAGCAGAGCAGTTCCCTAAAAAATTAAACACAGAATTACTTAATGATCCAGCAACTCCACTTCTGGGTATATAGCCCCAAAAGGGTGAAAGCAGGGACTTGAACAGATATTTGTACACCTGTGTTCATAACAGCATTACTCACAATAGACAAAAGGTGGCAACAAGCCAAGGGCCCATTAGAGGATGAATGGATAAACAAAATGTGGTAGATGCATACAATGGAGTGTTATTCAGCTTTAAAGGGAATGTTGATAATGCTACAATACGGATGATGAGCTTTGAAGGCATTATGCTAAGTGAAATAAACCAGACGCAAAAGGACACATGCTGTATGATTTCACTTACAGGAAATGCCTAAAAATGGTCAAATTCATAAAGACACACAGTAGAATGGTTCTTCCCAGAGGTTGGGGGGAGGGAGAATGAGGAGTTAAGTGTTTAATGGGTACAGAGTTTCGATGTGTGGAGGTGGACAGTGGTGACAGTTGCCCAGCAGTGTGAGAGGGCTGAATGTGGTTGAACTCTACACTTAAAAACAGTTAAAATGTTAAACTTTATTTTATGAATATTTTATCATCATAAAAAAAATTTGCCCTTAGCTGCTTGTAAATAACTTGTAAAAAGTGGACATGAATTTAGAACCTGTTACTCTCACTAGATTGGCTAGTATACATAAGAGGTCATAATTTTCAATTATATTATCATTAATTAAAAAAAAAAAACTTTTTAAATTGACCCTATTATTTGTTCTTGCCTAGCAGATTTGGCATTTGTGGCAGACACTCAATTTTATTTGGCGGCTAGGTGCTCACGAAAGCCATTTCCTCCTTCTCCTGGGCACATAGCTCTGCTACTTCCCAGCCTCCCTTGCAGTCACGTGTGGTCTACCACTGGGTGCCAGCCAATGGGATATGGTAGAAGTGACACCCAGAGGGCCCATCTGAAAACCTCCCACCCACCCAGCATCCTCCACTCTTTCTCCATTCATGGGTAGGAGGGAGAGAATGCCTAGAACCTGGAAAATGGAACCATAGGACAGAAGCAGGCTGTATTTGAATGGACGTGGAGAAGAACGCCCGCCTACCAACCCTAACTGTGAGAAAATGTGATTGAAAAATTTACTCTTATTGTCTTAAGCCACTGAGATGTGGAGATCATTTGTTACAGCAGATAGTCGACCCTAATTAATATGGTATTGTCCTGGTAAGAGAACTGGGTGGTTCCGGATGCCACTTGAAAACCACCGACCTTTAGCCAGCTAATATTAATAACTAATATTAAATGGCTTCCCAAATCCTTGGGAGAATTATTTAAGTGTTAGAGGCATCTGTTAGCACAAAATAATGCGATTATTGATCTCTAATAAATACAGTGTTGAGAGCTAAGTGAAACAGAATGAAATTAAACCCAAAAAAGTCAGCAGGGAAGCTATTCATTAACTGTAAACCCAGGCATATGTGTCTGTGAAGAATACCAAATAGTCGTTGTCTCTGTGTTGAAAAACAAAGCAATGTGGACTTGAAGCAAATGTTAAAGTGATGGCTTGAATTTATAATTCAAATAATTCTACTGTTTTCTCTTTAAGTAATATGGGTAATTTCCTTGTTATCATTTCAGGATATTTTTTTGATTATGTGTGTGTGTGATTTTTTCCCCTCGCAAAATTAATTTAAATTGCTCCTCAGAGACCTGGTTGGAATAATGGTTTGCAATATTTTGTACTATGTGAGGAACACAGCCTTTGCAACCTTAGCTCTTAAAGAATTCTTCTGTGTGAATAGTTGGCTTGATTGTGTCACTTAGTAAATATTAAGAGAAGTAACAATATACTGGGATATCTAAAATTGTAGGAGGGTATATAAAAACCATGTTGTAGCTAAAATA